GTCCCAGCTTCAAAGTAGCGGGGGATTGGAATCAGGACGCTGGCCCAAAGTGGATTTATCTGGACATCGAAGCAAATCAAGGAAATCTGGAAACGTGAGCCATTTTTTGCCTCGGGGAGGCTACGAGGGAAAAAATGGGGCCTCTAATCTGTGCGAGGCTACTCCCAATCCGCGGATACTCAGATCGATCCTAGTCGATACGCTACAAGCGAGATGATACTTGTTGCCTGATGGATTGATGAGAGGGGCCATCGGCGTGAACCAAAGTTCTCCATGGTTCCTCTAACCTCTTTCCAAGCTTGGGAAGTACGCTTCTCTACTCCACATTGTAGCGTCGAAAAACAAGTTGTTTCATTACTTGTCCACTTCACTAAACTACGAAGGAGGCTATCCTCTTTTCCGCGAATCCCACTCTGATCCGCCGCATCCGTCGTTTCTCTTGACGTGCCTCATCTGCCCATCTCCGCTGCTCCTTGGGGGCGGTATTTAAAGAAGTGGTTTTTGTGTCTTTTTGATATTTCTCTCATTTCGCTACGAGCTACTTCGTACGCCCGTACGGGATGAAGGAAGTACGATGCGTAGGCCCATATTCCACGTCGCTCGGCTTATACGACCTACGATTTTCTTGGTATTATCAGTGGAATGTTTGAGGTAATTTCTCTCACCGCAGGTTTCTTTGAGCCGCCGTCCGCCTGGCCGCAGCAGCCGAGTTAACCGTGCTTGCCTGCCGCGACCCCCCCGGGCGTCGATGGCACTCGTTCCCCTCAGACTCTTTCCCAACAGGACTGGCTGGCCCCCCTCTTTTCTGTTCCTTCTTCATTTTCAGGCTATCGTCGTTTTCGTTTCTAGTAGGTGTCAAATGCGCCGGAGATCACTAACGCGACTTGGTTGCTGCAGCGCCTGGGTCTCGCAGACAGACAGGCAGAACCAGTCGTGAAGTGTATCAACGCTATCTAGATTCTACACTACTGTACCTGGGTGGAGCCCGTCTATGGGGTAAGACGCCAAAGGTCGATGATCCGCTGCTTCAGACGCCTTTTTAGGGCAGCTCCAATGATTAGACGGGTCTTGTGTCTGGAGAGCTGGGAAATTGGCATTTTTTTGATCCTACAACTGGTGCGGAGCTGCAGCTGGGCGATCAACTTTCTGCTGTCCGAAGGAGCCAAGGCCAACACACATCGCGCATCACGCACCACGCACCAGTAAGAGCGGCATGTTCGCAACACTGACCTATCCTAGTAGCTAGGCAATGAATGTAGGCCTATTCCTCACGTACAGATTGCAGCTTAAAATTCGTCTTACATATGCATCAACCGCTTTTTGAAGCCCGTTCTTCTAGAACAACACAACACATATTATCCATAGAGGTGCATGCAGGATGCGCGTTATATACGACGAAAATCGTGCGTTGAGGCCTTGAGGGTTGTCAGACATATTCGGCCGCCCTCTTCCCATTCGATGGAAGATGTTGCTCACGCGACCAACCACCCTGGTGTCTGAGCCGAGAGTGAGAATGAGAATCTTAAAACCAAATGGGGGGTTATAGAAAAGAATAAAAAAGATGAGATGTGAGGGCCAAGAGAAGGCGATCGTCGGACGGGTTGATCAAGAGCGGAGCTTTTCTTGACACCAGTCCAATATCCGGAGTGCCAGAATAAGCGGATACTTGTATATTTCGTAGCCAAACTTTAGGTATTACGCTGCTTATACACTCCTACATACCCCAGCTAGCTATGAGCTCGAGCCTGGAAATGTATTTACTCGGATGGGGAGTGTCAACGGGCAGCGCTGATCAAGAAACAACTGATGCACAGCTCTGACGAACAGTGCTGCATCAAATCTCTACACAGTCCAATCGAACCCTGATTTACTAGACTCACACCCCGATTTCCCCACCTCTCACAGCCAATGCCCACGCCTTGAACCTCAGTGACCTCATGTCACCACCAAATGCCAAGTATTGCCCCAGTCCGTCATCGCGCCCTCCCAACATGCAGCAATCCGGAAAGCTTCTAGAAGCCCGCACCGAATGATAAAAGCCAAGGAAAGCATTTCCTGCAGGGCCAACGCAGACCCCTCCTTCTTGGGACATCAATGGAATGACATGTGGCCATCGATGATCAGAAAAGAATCCTTTCGAAATGTTTTTTGTTTGATATCGCTCTTTCTTTCTGTCCTCTTTTTTTTTCCCCCTCAAATCGCGAATATCCCTCGGTGGCTAGATCCAGCCATTCCGTTCATTCCGTCTTCCTCTTTGGGAGAAAGGACAAAGCTTGAGGGCGGGCTCCACTCTGATGACCAATGCCGAAACCCGGCGTGTCTGCGGAGCTCGATCGGCGCAAAAAGTTAGATGGCGACTCTCCGATCCCGAAGAACCAAAATTACTTTTTTTTTTTTTTTTTTTTTTTTTTTTTTTTTTTGCATTCTTCTAAAAGGCTAAAAGTAATTATAGAGAATTAGGCACCCTCTTCTTCTGAAAAGGAACCGGGATCGCATTTTTAAGCCTCCGATCCCGATCCCGGTCCCGAGCCCGAACCCCTGCCGGAGGTGAAGCGTATTACACTACGAAGTAAATGTTATGTACCCTCGATTGGCGCCAAAAATGGCGAGTGTCTTCCATCATTTCCACTATGCTTCGGGGTTCATAGGGTGGGGCGTAAAGCCTGGTGTAGTCTGGTGTAGAGGGAACTTTGCCAGCCGACCTTTCCGGGAGGACCTTAATACGAAGTCCTTTTTTTTCCCCTCCCCTCCTTTTGATTGCGTTTTAACTCTGTCGTTGGTTTAGACGGAAAGGTATCTTCCCGACCCAGTGGTACTGGGGACGTTGACTTCGGGCGAGCCTTTCGTTGGAAAGGGAATGGGAGAACTGTCGGTTTGTACCAAGATGAAAGCCCTCAGGAACGAGAATGATCAATGTTGCACGCTAGGAAGAGATAGAAAAGCAACATGTGTCTTCCTGCAGTTGGGCAGAATGGGGGTGTTTCTCTTCCTGCCCGCACTCAAGTGGTGCGAGACTAGGAAGCTCGTATGCTCGGGCCGTTGATAGTGATATAACTTGCAGCGTTCGTTGCCGCCTTGCAGTAGGTTGGAACCAGCTGAGACTCTGCTAGTTTCCCGATGGGTGCGGGTGCAGAAACGTGAAAATACATGCCTTGGGATTGAGTTTGGGTTCCCGAGGAGGGGAAGGTCATAACTTGGGACGTTGTGTATGCCTCCATGACCTGAGGTCTGACGACAAGTAAGGAGAGGTTCTGTATCCTTTCCTCCCTAGCTTTCCCCTTTGTAAGCTCAAGAGTTCCATCTAGTGATCACATTGGACAATCCATGATGAAACTACAGGATATAGAGCCGGCCTACATCTGAATTTCGATCAAAACTCAACCTTGCCTGTTGTAAGGGCGGTCAAGTAACGTAACAATATGGAGGGCCCGGCCCGTCCATCCTCGATGTTCCTCAAACAGATAGTGTCTCTTTCTCCTCGGACCTGCCAAGCCCTTGCCTTGTTCATCTCCCAGGGGGGCGCTACCCTTGGGGAAAGGGATCGGGGCAGGCAAGTCTCAGCTCTGGAACTGCAAGGCTCCTCCGGGGATGCCTATTGCAGAGAAGAAAGAAAGAAATTAACCTGTATATGCACAAACGTTGCATATCCAGTCCCATTCCGTCTCACGATCCCATCGGCGATTAGGAAAGGAATAAAATTTTTAGATTCTTATGTTGAAAGTTTGGGGATATGCACGTTGACGTTGTGAAAGCCCTTTTTCCCCCACGCATATTTCCCGATTCTACACCGAGGGACACCGCCAGCTTGTGCCCCCAAACTTATTTACAATTTCACATGGAACATGGAACATGGAAAGACGTCATTGATGCATTCATGTCTCGTGTCTACCCCAACAAAGACGTCGTAGCCGAGTTTTGGCTGTAGAACTTGCCCAATTGATTAGGCGTGAGTCGCGTGAGGAGGACAATTCGTCGAGAAACGAGGCTTGCTGAATGCAGTTTGGGCACTCGTGTCGTAAAAGTGTTAAAACCTATCGACAGACAATCCCTTACCCGAGACGATTCGGCCATACCACAAAAGTCGACCAGGAAGCATGAACGGGGACACGAACCGGTCCTCGCGAGCAGATTCCTCTTTTGGCCAGTGCCAACACTCAGGCATCTTTCTCACACCTTTCCTCCCCCTGTCCACCTTGTCTGACCGGGAATACCATACACCATCGCTCACCTCACTACTCTTGGTCACACACCTTTCCATGACAATGACAGCCCGCGATGTTTGGTGTGGTTAATCCCGGTCTTTAAAATCCAAACGGCACATGCTTCTGTTTAGAGTGAAGGTGAGGCACTGCTTTTCCACGCCCACGCCTGGACCTGCCTGTCTTGTATAGCCGTCAAGATGCCTAACCTCATTCTCCATAAGCGACATGAGCCTTCCTTACCTTTCTGATCTACATCACACCTCTCAACTTAATCGCCATGAAGCAGCAATGTCATAGCCCATCTCTGCACCCAACGTATCCATAACTTCACTCGCAAGCAGGTCCAAGGAGCGAAACATCAATCTCATCCATCTATTCACATCAAGAATGCTTACAGTACATCCCCCACCACTCCCCCTTTTTTTAGTGTCTAGGCAACGGCCCAAGTTTCGAGTCTTCGTATCCGTCATCCCATCCCTAAATACAGTCTACTATTTGAACATGAAAAACAAAGGGGAAAAAAAAAAAATGAGTTAAAAAAAATGAAAAACCTCAGAGCTCCCATGCCAAAAACTTGCCCCTCCAAAAAAAGCCCTGAAAAATATGCGTACCTTTATCCTCCCTCCTTGCCAATCGTCTCCTTAACAGGACACAGAGGTCTCAAGAGAAAGAGAGACGGGTGAACGGAGGAGGGAGAGACGGACCAACCGTGGTATCTAGTTTCTTTTCCTGTTTCTATGTACATTCCACCCCCTTTGTGTGTCTATCGCCAAATCCCTCTCTTTCTCTTCTTATGATTTAGAGCTTGGCAATAATGGCATCGGCATACTGCGAAGTAGAGGCCTTGCCACCAAGATCACCAGTAAGGCTCTTACCCTCAGCAAGGGTATCGAAGATAGCCTTCTCGATGCGGACGGCATGCTCAGTAAGACCCATGTGTCGCAGCATCATGATGGAGCTGAGAAGGAGCGCGGTGGGGTTCGCCTTGTTCTGGCCGGCAATATCGGGAGCGGAGCCGTGGACGGCCTCGAAGATGGAGACCTCGTCACCCATGTTACCCGAGGGGGTGAGGCCGAGACCGCCGATGAGGCCGGCGCACATGTCGGAGAGAATGTCACCGTAGAGGTTAGGCATGACGAGAACCTTGTCGTTGTAGGGGACGGGGTCGGTGGTCATGCGGAGGCAGGTGTTGTCGAGGAGCTCGGCGTCGAACTCGATGTGGGGGTACTCCTTGGCGATCTGCTGGGCGGTGGTGAGGAAGAGACCGTCGCTGAGCTTCATGATGGTGGCCTTGTGTACTACGCGGACCTTCTTGCGGCCGATCTCCTCGGCGTGCTGGAAGGCGAAGCGGAGGACGCGCTCGGAGGCATCGCGGGTGATGAGCTTGATAGACTGGACGACGCCGTCAACGACCTCGTGCTCGATGCCGGAGTACTCGCCCTCGGTGTTCTCTCGGATGAGCACGGTGTCGACGTTGTCGTAGGGGGTCTTGTAGCCGGCGATCGATCGGCAGGGTCGGAGGTTGGCGAAGAGGTTGAAGGTTCGTCGGAGGGTCAGGTTAAGCGAGACATGGCCCTTGCCAATAGGGGTCTATGGAAGCGAAAGTAAGGATTAGCACTGGGGATCTTCATCGAGAGGTTTGAGGCAATTTTGTTTCGGTTTGGGGGGGTATCTTCGCAACATACCGCAAGGGGACCCTTGAGGGCAACCTTGTTCCTCTCGATACTCTCAATCGCCGCATCGGGAATCGCCGACCTTCCGTCCTTGATAATGGGAGTGACTTCAATGGGTTCCCATTGAATAGGAGTCTAATCGATTAAAAGAAGAAAGCATTAGCGACCAACATCTCAGAACAATTCCGTTTTTGTCCCACGATTCCACGACCTCCAATTGAGGCTGCGGTGAGGTGCAGCATTGATAGCGGTAACAGGCGAAGCATGGTGACGTCGATAAGGAAGGAACCCGGCCCCAGTCCACTTCGTGATCGTGATCGCGGGATATTCTGAACAATTGGAAGAAAAAAAAAAAAAAAAAAAAAAAAAAAAAAAAGACGCACCTTGGCAGCAGCGAAAATGTTCTTGACAGCAGCAGAAATCTCGGGACCGATACCATCACCCTCGATCAAGCTGACAGTGTAGTTTCCCTAAAGAACGGTCAGTTTTCCCATGTGTTTCTCTGCCATCTGCAAGGTAATAACATCATGCGCATTTGTCAGGAACAAATAGCAGAAGGAACCCGAAAACTCACATTAACATCCTTGACACCCTCAAACTTGGCCACTCGCTCCTTGCTAGCAGAATAGTATCGCTGAGCCTGTCAACGAACAACATATTAGTCCAATTGCCCCCAAAGCGCTTCAATTGCTGGCTCATCGTCGCGAGAGCTTCACAGCTCTCGGCCAGAGGGAAGTGCGGTTGGTAGGTAGCCTTACCTGGATCGCGACGCTAACCGTTTTCCGAGGACCCGCCGAGCGAGCACAGTGCCTCGCCGTAATAGAGAAGCTCCTGACTGCCAGCATTGTGAAGGAATTCAAGTGCAAAGAAGACTCGAAGTAGGGATTAAGAAAGAAAGCAGGTATAAAGAAGGAAAACACAGGTCTATCGTCGTGAACCAAAGGAAAATGGATTGGTGGGGATGAGGGAGAGAAGTGAGAGGTTAAGGGAAGAGAAGAACAAGGTTTGAGGTTTGTAGAAAAAAAAAAAAAAAAAGAATCAAATGTTTTTGTCTCGTTGTCCGAGAATCCGTTACTTTCTTTTGGAGGGGGAAAAGGAACCTTGAAGACCAAAGACCAAGCAAAAAAGGGACCTGGACCCAAGCAAAAAAGGTCATTCATACATTGAACGGACCGGATACAGCAAGATTTCGGGACACAGTAAGATACATCAGATACAATTCGCCTGCGTCACTACGCAACGGGCCAGTGGAGCGCAGTAACAGCGACCGAAAGTACCCTAAAAAAAGCTTGGCCTCGACCTTCACGTTATCAACTTATCTTAGGCCCGAACCAAACGCCTGAAAAAAGAGAGCAACGCCGTCTATTGTTGCAGGGGGTGGAAGAGTTGGCCTGGTCCAGGCTCCAAGGGAGATCCACAGAAATCCATTCCCCGTGCAAATTGGAGCTCGCAAGGCAAACTCGGATGGTTAACATGCCCCACCCTTACGGCGAAGTGTCACCTCCGATTGGCTGGAGATCTCCGGAACAAGCCACACACGCCGCATTTGTGGCACAAGCTCCACCATTTTCAACCTCTCGGAGACGGAGCGAGCCTATCTCCGCTCGGAGCACCGAGAAGCTGAGCGGCTGAGATGCCTGAACAGAGCCTGATAAAGTGATAACGGAATCGTCGTGACGACATCCCGCCAGCAATAAGCCGCATATGCGCGGCAATTATCGCTTCATGGGATCAGGAATTGCACTGGAATGCCCGGCGTTTCCTTTTGTTTTGCTCCTTTTTTCTTCCCGCGTCAAGAGCTTTTCACATCCATTGATGCGGAAGCAATATTTTCCTAACCCGTGCCTCTAGCGAGGTTAACGGCGCTATTTTGACACGAAGGATTTCGTTACGCCGGAGTACACTATAGCTGATGTGAGCACTTTATTTGATGTCATCGATTCAACTCAACTCCGACAAAACTCCCAACCCCCCCTGTCTGTAGTGTATTAAATGCCCAGTATTACAAGCCAGAAATTGCAACACCAACAATTGCACCAAAGTCAACCCCACCAGTGACCCCATTCCTAATTGCTGTAAACTCGTACACGGTTATCATCATCCATTAACTCGGACTCGCCAACCTCTCTCCCTCTTTCTTTCCCTCCTCTCCTTTCATCTCTCACCACCACCTCTACTGAAACACAAACACAACCCCCGACCGATCCACCGAAACAGTCATCGTATACGGGCTCTCCAACAACGCAACATCCAGAATCGCATCAAGATGACTCCTCAAAAGCTGTTGCTGCTGCATCGAAATCACCGTACTCCTCGCCGCCTTGCTCTTCCCTTTAGTAGACCCCTTGCTGCTGCCACCACCACTCGATCCATCGCCAGCGGCAGCAGCGGCGGCGGCGCCATCCTTGCCCTTGCCCGACGAAGAATGCCTCGTCGCCCCCCTCTCCATGTTGAGGGTCGTGGACGCCGTGGTATGACTGGCAGTAAACGTCGGTCGCGCCTCGTCGGCCTGCAACCCACTGTAGATGACCGAGTTGTCGATGCGCGACAGGTCCCAGAACCGGAGCTTCTTGTCCGACCCGCCCGTGACGATGAACGCGTGCCGCACGTCCCGCGGGTCCTCGCCCAGCGACGTGCCTACCACCATGGCACGGACGCCGCGGTCGGCGCTTCCCGTGGTGGTTGACGAGGACAAAGTGGGCTCGATGCTCGTGGCGAACCGCCCCAGCATGCCCTCGCGCTTGTCGTCGTCCACCTCCCACGGCTCGTAACTCTTAGGCCCTTCCTTGTTGCCGCCGACTCTGTAAATCTCCCTGCACGACGTCTTCTCGAGATCCCACACCGTCACCTCTCCCAGGCCCGTGCCTCCCGCGACGCACACCCACCGCCCGCGGCCCTTGACTGGGTGTATGCACATCCTGTAAATCGGCCCTCCGCCGGGGATGCCCCAGGCTTTGAGCCTCATCTTGAACCGTAGATCCCACAGGTCCAGCACGCCGTGCGACGTCCCCAGACACAACCAGTTGCGCCTCCTATCCACGCAGAAACACGTAGGCGTTCCGTGATGCACGGGGTTCTCCAGCACGTAGAGCAGCGTCATGGTCCTCAGGTCGATGCCCAGGATCCTCGACCTGTTCGTAGCCAACACCATGACCGAGCTCGTCTCCACCTTGAAATGCTCCACCCAGACCGCGTACTCGCCCTCGGGCAGCTGGTACTCGCGCAGCAGCCTCAGCTTCGGGTACCGCAGCGCGTTGCTCGACGGCGCGGTGTCGACCTTGACCACATGCACGCTGCCGTCGCTGGCGCAGCTGATGAAGCAGTGCGTGTTCTCGATGAAGCACAGCGCGAGCACCCTCGAGCCGGCGGCGTGGCGGTGCGTTTGCCGCGACCTATGCGTGCTGTTGCGCTCCAACCGGGCCGTGTCCCAGACCTTGACGGCGCCGTCGTCGCTGCCCGTGATAAAGAAGACGTGATCCGGAGATGCCACCACCCTGTTGACTGCGCCATGGTGCTCGGAAAATGTCGCCACGAGCCGGCTGGCGGGTTTCCACGGTGCCTGGACCTGGCCATTAACTCTGCTCTTCTTCCTAGAGATCGGCTGGACTAGCGGCCCAAACTCCACAATATCGTGAGGATAGTTGTCGATGTACATGTTATCTAACATCTTTAGAATGCTGGGATCATTGCCCTGGTACGAGTGGTTCGCCTTGACCCTCGTCGCTGAGCTGGGGGCACTACTAAGCGTATCCGACGCGGGCCCTGGCCGATGCGTCGGAACCAGCGCAAACGGTCCTTCAACCCGTCCGAAGGCGTTAGCTTCGGTCGTAGAAGTTTCCGCGACGGTTTTGTTGCTATCCTTCCTGTCCAGAAGACTCAGCGCACTAGACTGGCTCCGGATGACCCTCCTTGATGCGTACGGTGCATCGCTAACCGACACGTCGTCATTATCGACAACAGGACTGCCGCTGAGCAGCTTTCCAGCCAGCAGAGGTATCCTCCGAGTGGAATCCCTCGAGTCCCTGCGTCCGGTCAGGCTGGCTGGAGGAGACATCGTCCGCCGATCCTGGGGGTGCGGCGACGCCGTGCTGCTGCCCGCCCGAGACTTGTGAGCGTTCAGCGCCGCCTTCTTCCGTTTCGCCACGGGATCGTCGATCGTCATGGACGCATCCAGCAGCGCATCCGCGATCGTGTATGGCACCCTTGAGTCTTCCGGCGACTGTATTTCAGGCACCTGTTGAAGCAATGGCTTCTCGTCAAAGAAGACCGTCTGCGGCGTAATTCCAAGGCTCTGTAGCGAAATAGCTTCGTTGTAGCTCACGGGCTCGCCATCAGCCGTGCTCCTTTGCTTGAGCTTGCTCAGCTTCCAAATAAACTCTCTCAGTGCCAAGAGCTTCACCTCGTCATCGGGCGCAAGTCCAAGGCTCCGGAGCTTAGAGAACCACTGCTCATCCTCCTCGTTCCGGGGGACCTTGCTCATACTCTGCGCGGTGAGGTCCTTGGCCGAACGCGTCGAGAGTGTGGTAAAGGCTAGGTTGCGCAGCTGCTGGAGCGGTCTCCAGAACATCCCCTTCTCCGTCTTCGCCGCCCACGTCAGAGCTTGATCAAATACAGACCTAGACAGTGGGCTCAGTAACGCGTCGAGCAAGTTCAGTTCGTCGTGAAATTGTGGGACTATGCCGGGTTTTAGATACGGCTTGACCATCGGCAACACGAGGCAGAGTATATCGGCAGGACTCAGATACTTGGTTGCAGCGGACAGGAACTCGGCCGCGGCCTCGCGAATCCAAAGGTTGGGGTGCATTGCGAATCGCCCGATGACATCCACAAGCGCCCAGATCTTAGCCCGTGACAGCAGTCCGAGACTGGCAAGCTGCGCTAGCGCATGGAGGTCCTCCTGGACGACAAACTCCTCCGTGTCAGTCAGCGCCTGCGTCATCAGCGGCAAGATGAAATTCTCCAAGCTACTCGTGCCCATCAATGTCGCAATGCCGACTATTGTCTCGAAGAAGGCGCACTTGAGCATCCAGTCGCGGTCGTTCAAGTATGTATTGAGGTGCGTGAGCAGAATATCGTTGGCGTCGGCAGGCTCAAAAAATAGGCATAGCTCCGGCACAGAAGTCAAGAAGGCTCTCCGGACGTAGATGTCCGTGTCCTCGACTAGAGCCTTGGTGTGTCTCTCAAAGAGCTCGAACAATTGCCTCTGGGCATTATCAAAGAGACTATCAAAGGTGACTTCCGTCTTAGCACCGGGTTCCACTTCTGGATCGGCTACCGTAAATGAGCCGCCACCCTTGAGCGACGCCGCCATTTCAAGAAACCGAGAGGCTGTAGTCGCTAGGCTCCCAATACAGGATGCATAAGTTGCGCGGACCAATGCGCTAGGCGGTGGCTTATTCGAGCTGGACGGAGGATACAGAGCGGACTGGAGCCGGGGGAGGACGTATTCGACAAAGACATGAGAGTTTATGGGTGTCACAACGCGCACCATCTGGAGAAGTTGCGTGATGCTCCGAATAGCCGATATCACAACGATGTCAGCCTTATCCGTTAGTAGAGAGACCAGGTAAGGTAGGACCCGATCTAGCTTCGCCTCGTCTGTTAACCTCTCTGCGAAGGCGAGCAACACATCACAAGCGCGTATCTTCGAAGCCGCACGCGCAGTGTTGCGTATCGAAGACACCACGAGGGTGACAAATATGAGAGTGCCGTCGTCCTCGGGAGGTTCAAGGGCAGCAGAAACGTAGTGCTCGTTGTTCGGTATGTTGAGCCTCACAGGGAAGTGGTCAAGGCCGAGCTTAGGCATGATGGGTGGATTCTGGGAGGTCCGCTTGTCGTCCTGGTAGCCGAGAAAGTAGGAGATCTTATCAAAGTCTAGAAAGACTCGGTCTATCCGTTCGTCGGGCTCGCCTAGGTTCTTGGAGGAGTTGGAGATGGGACTGTTTCCTGACGAAGGATCGGTGATGAGCCCCATGTACTGGTGAAGGAAGCTGTAAAAGTAGTCCGGGAACACCTTCTTCCTGAAGAATTCGAGATACTGCTCAGCAGAATACCGTCTCTCGGGATCAAGCTGGATCATATGCGATATCATCTCCCGCACATCCTTATCCGGTATCACGCTCAGCGCAGTGGCTGTGGGATCGTACTCGCCCCTTCGATACTTGTACAGTTGACTGAGCGTAAAGAACTCCGTCTCGAGGAACAGCTGGGCGATCACGCAGCCCGCGCTGAAGATATCCATCGCCCAGGTAAGCTTCGCCCCACCTGGGGTCGACTCCCCAGCGCCGACGAATCTCTCAGGCGCAATATAACACGTCCGCTTCCCCACGGTATCGAAATAGTAGGTGAAGTCCGCGGGGTTATCGTCAGGCAGAACCATCGGCTTGAAAGCCGATGAAAAGTCTGTGAGGTATAGCCAGTTCCACGACGTGACGAGGATGTTCTGCGCCTTGATGTCCCCATGGTAAATGTCCCTCGCATGACAATCGCGCAACGCACACAGCAGCTGAAACGCCAACCACTTTTTCTCGATATCTTCCAGGAACGGCCGCGTGCTTATCCGGTCGTAAAGCGAGCTGTACATGAACTGGCGCACCAGGTAACCATTCGTATCGGTTTCGATGATTCGCTGGAACGGGAGGGCGTTGGGGACTTCCGCGAGGGCCTTTCTCTGTTCTATCCGTCGAAGTTAGCTCCGTAAAGGGATGTCATGATGCCGCAGACCATTTACCTATTATCTCCCTCTTGTATTGTTCAAGCGGCATGGGTGTATATGGCTTAACCAATATCTTGACAAGCACAACCCCGTCGTGGTGCCGCGCCCTCACACTCTTCATAAACCTCGCATTACCGATACTCTTCTCGTATACAAGGTCACTAAGCTCCGGCACGTCGATGCTCGCCGAGCCCGCTGACGGGGTCGCCAGCGAAAAGCCCTGGCCCATCGTGTGCGGATTCTCTGTCTGTCCGTTCTTTGGAGAATGCGGTTGAGAAAGTGGAGGTCGACTGGGTATTGATTTGTTGAGTGGCCGTCTAGGCTGGGAGGAAACGCTTTATTTATACCTTCGAAGAAAAAGAAACTACCTGGGATCGGGGGTAGAATCGCGATCGAGAATCGTCATCTTCGGCAGTCTGGGAGGATTCGTGGGAGGATGTAGGCAGCGACTTGGCGAGGAAGCAAGGGTGGAAGGCGGTGGGGGAGTATCGTAGCAATGCGAAACGCGTTTTAGTATTGTACAAAGGAACCGATAAATCTAGAAATTCAGATCAGACTCCAAGAAAAGAAACTTGGGAGACCAAAGATAAAGCAAGAAGAAGCTCGAAAGATTGGTCGAGTCGGATGCGAGATGTAGTAGATGGAGTTGTCGTCAGAATTGAAGTGGACATTTGATCTGAGCATAAGCTGAGCCTGGGGCGGCGCGGGATCAACTGAAAGTGGGTCTGTCACAGAGGCTCTGCCAGCGCTGGGTTTATTGGCGGGCTGCCTTAGCTAGCAGCTCAGAAGCTCCAAGTCCTTGTAGATTTGAGCAGAGGACCCTCAACCTCAACTATCCACAACCCATCTGCCTTCTTTCTGTTGTACTAGAATTTGAGATCACCAGCCTTACATCATCAACAGCATTGCTGACTACACAAAACATCATTGATCTTGTGATATTTGACATTTAGCATGCTTGATTCATATCTCCGTCCGAAACTATAGTCAATAGTTTCCAAGTCACTGAGGTTGTGGTATTCACATGCAGAAAGATAGGTTCTCTGGACATCAGCCTCATCAAATGACAAATGACTTATTGTTTCACCTTGGAATCACCATCACTACGACTTCGGAAAGCAACCGATTTAAGCAATAGCACTCGATTCCAGGAATAGTACTAGCTACACTGCTACATCCAAACCTAGGCCGAGCAGGAAAAGAAGACAGAACAGGGACGAACCCAGTTCCGCCTTCGGCCTCTCAACTCAGCTAGAGCCCAGCCCAACCCTCTTCATCTTGGTCAGAGCCCCAAGAACACCTCGCCATCGTCTACCACCTCTGCTCTGACCATATGCCGAGGAACACCTCGATCCCTCTCCATAACCCCATCCTCTTCCAACAAATACAGATCCAACGATAAAAAAACAAAAGGAATGGAATTACATAGCAAGCGCCCTCCCAGCCGCAAATCAACAAACCTACCCCCCGGAATCCAGCACTAGATAAGGCAAGCAAAAAGGAATGCTACGATGCCAGATAACACAAAGGCCAAAGCTTAAGCCATAAAACTGGGTATATAAAACATAGAAGAGAAATGGAGGGCGCTATGCAAAGTTTGATGTGATATTAATCCCCTTGCAGTCCATTGAATCCCCACTAGCTGCGGGCGAGCTTTCTCACGACCCGGGCTCCATTCAAAGGATTAATGGGGAAACGCCTAGTTGAAAAGGAGTGCTGCGCCGCGAGTTCGTTGATAGGGAGGCATCCAGGGACCTGGGGAGAGGTGATTGGAAAATTAAAACGTCAGCTAGGACGCAAAACCATTAAGCGTATCGTCTGTCAAATGCAAAGGTTGCTTTTTGTCGTCTCTATGTGCAGAATGGCATATGTAGAGAAGAGAACAGAGAAAAGGAGCGAATCCGGCAGACAAAATTGAGCGAGAGAAATTATAGACAGTTTGAAGTGGTCAGGGTGGTTTGACACGATGGAACATGTCGAACCCATGGAAAAAGACGCGGAGGGATATATAGTCATCACCGGATTGCTTGGATTGGGGCGGAGAAATCTGGGCAAAACCGAAGGAGAAAAAGGACGAGGACCAAGAAATGCAAGGATGCCAGAAACTCCTGTATAAACCAAATGCTCCCGAACCAGTGGCTTCGTCATGAAGGTTGTTGTTTTAAAAGACGTGGACTCATAGGATAAAAGGGAAGGATATCAAATCAATCTCGTGGGGAAACCGATGGCGAATAGGCACCATTTCACGAGATGGCTGATATCGTCCGTTGATGGCTGCTTGATCCGGTTTCTGTGGAGCCCTCTCCCTCGATTGTCTTCCTCCAGTGCTCTGGCAAGCACACACACACCAGAGGGAACGCCTTGATCTCGCCGCTCACGGGCGGTGAGGTGTCGCGGCGGCCAGATGTGTTAGAGACGCCGCTGTCCCTCTGAGCCTGCCTCCTCGCCTCCCACTCATCGGCACGATCGTCGAGCATAATGCCCGTCGCCCAACCATCATCCCAAATACCCACCACCTTCAGCATATCACCCCGCTCTAGCGCAAACTCGTCAGCCGCGCGGGGTTGGTAAGCCCAGAGGACAGCCACCCGGTCACCGGGATGGATATCATCCTGCGAGTAGTAGTCTTTGAAGAACGGCAGCTGCTCAGATTGTTGACTAGCAAGACCTTGCGGCGACGACATGCCCCCTGCGCTAGTTGGTGATTGTGCCTCATCAAGAACCGAATTGCTCGATAGTGAGCCATTCCTCCTAATAGCTGCGGGAGGTGGTCGGAGAACGCCGGCCCCGGCCTCGATATCGGGGGTATCTCCATAATCATCCGAAGAGGAGTGGTTGTCGCCCCTTCTCTGCGATGACATACGCCCAGAAATGCCCCCAACGGCAGCGGCACCAGCGCCACTTGACAGGCGAGTGTGAGATGGAGAGTCCGCGGAATGACCCTCGAGAGCCGACATCCGAGCAATGCGGCCCCCTGGAAGCATCTCGTATCCTTGAGGCGCTGCAGCACTTTGGACCTTGGTTTCGGACATGGGAGGTCCTGATCGAGCAGGAGAGGGCTGATTGAAGATGCTTCCACCACTCTGGCTACCGTAACCCCTGCGCCTGCGGGCAAGCACGATGCACAGCCAAACAAGACCCGCAAGGAGGACGGCTCCCACAATAGCGCCGATTACAATACCGGCAATGGCACCACCAGAGAGACCACCGTCATCGTCGTCATCGGTGCCGGGAGTCGCACTGGCAGAGGGAACGGTGAAGGTCATGGTTGGCAGAATTGAAGGTAGCTCGACACCCGCGCATCGCTCCTCAACATTTGACGCGAAACAGCAGCCGTCAGTAGCATTAAGTCCGGTGGTTGCGCAATAAGCACAGAGACCGATTGTGCTGTCGGCGAAACCACAGTTATTCGGTTCGTTTGTGATACCTTGGATGCAGCGGGAAGGAGCCAGCGCATCATCCGGTAGAGAGCAAGTCGCAAAGTCGGCCCGGATAAGCTTCACGAGCTCCGGTCCAGGGTTGGAACACATGTTGGGGTCGGACGAAACAAACGCCTCGCTCTGGGCAAAGTCGGCCTGTCTCATCGTTAGTACAAGAGATCAGAAGAACCACCTCAGGATAAACGAACGCAAGTATCGGCGCAAACCGGGCGCGCGTTTTCATTGGCGACCCCACAGGCATTCTTCGACATTTGGATGATGGCACTGCAAATCGTCGTTTTCGTAAATCGCGCGTACATATCGTTCGCTTTCGAGAAGTCGACGGAGCCACAGCCGAACTGAGCTTGAAACCTGACCACAGATTGTCAGCGCCAACGCGGATAATGAAGGGTTAATCGAGCTGGAATCGACTCACTTCTCACTGATGTAGGTCGTTTTTATGTAAGAGTCCAATCTGGAGTCAAACGACTCCCTGTCCACAACAAACCTGAGGAACGAACTGCAAAAACCAATCGTCAGCATGTTGTTACCAATAGAAGAACCTGGCGGCCTTGGGATCTGTGCCCAACTTACAATGTCCCGACGATATTCGGATCTAGTGAGATGGACGCGTCTGGCCAGGCCGGGCACGACGTAGAATCTCGCAGTGATATGCATTGGGCCGAAACGGCGGGTGCAATCGAAAGCATCGACAGTAATAACGTCGAAGTTGACAACCCTTCGCGGGCTTTCACGGCTCCACCTCGCCTCCTCCTCTTCTCTCCTAGCCGTCCCCTCCTGGGGACATTTTGACTTCTCGTAGACATTATTTGAGGAATTAGGGGGTGATTGATGATTGACGCGTCGCTTCTGGTGTCCTTTCGAGGTTAAGGCCCTGAATGTCCTTTTTTTTTTTCGCGCCAGGACAGTTTTTGTGTCACCAATGGAATATTGACATAGACACACGAGTTCAAGACCATTCAGGAAAGAAAGATGTCGTCGTTGACCTGTCGGTAGCGGCGTGCAAGTAACCGGAACACGGCTCAACCCGGGTTTTCAATCTCGTCAATGGGATAGATTAAGCGACACGAAAGTGGAAAGAAAAGAATAGGCCGACGGAAGCGAAATGGCGAGCTCTCGAATAATTCCGGTCGGCGTTCGATGTAAAGAGCCTGGTGAGTTCGTCGCGCGCTCGTTGATCGAATAACGAAGTTCGAAGAATTAAAGGAAAGACTTGAGTTGGTCTGGTTGTAAGAATTAAAGGCCTCGGACCATCGTCTCTTCGGTCAATAGTATCGAGGAAGGTGTCGTCGTCAAGCGGGTTCGTCTGGTCTGATCGAGGAAGGCGAGCTTGTCGGAAGGGAGAGCCACTCTCGCCTTTGCCTGTCACTCCGGCGGTTGAAGGACCTAAACCACAGCTTTGTGCCAACACAAAGAATATTCCCAAACAAAGAGGTAAACACTTTCTCCTCTGCTCGAAAGAAGAACAAAGGAAACCGTCTTCACTCTCCGACTCTTTGCTTGACAGGAAACTCCCTTGAAGCGCGTACGAAGGGAGATTGGGGGAGAGATGGGGGAGGAGAGTACGGAACCAGGAAGGATATGAGTGGCGCTAGTAGGGGAAGTGAGGGTATTATTATTATTAAAGGAGGAGGGAAAGAGCATGGGAGGGTAAGGTGGGATTGCGAGGGTATTTTGGGGAAGGCGCCCCCTCAGGATATGGCCGGGTTATAGGGTTATACTTGTCAACCAGTCACTAGTCTGGAAGAGGCCTGCGTATGTACAGCTTTTTGGGCACACAACTTAGGCTGCACAACATCAATTCGAAAGCACAAGTAGTGTACAAGAATAGACTACAGGATATTGGCGAGAGAGGCGGGAACGGGAAGAAGAAGAAGAAGAAGAGCAAGAATGCGTGGAAGTACGAAGGAATAATCGAGGTGAGGAAACCAGAGCAAAGTCTGTGGGAACTGCAAGGGAAAGTGCTAAGATGAGAGGACGATGGATGGTGACTGCTGTCCTTGGCAAAGTACTTCGTACCCGGACCGACATCAAGCTGCATTCTCTCCTATACTTCGTAATGCTTGGTGTCCTGCACCTGTCGCCAGAGATCAACACAGAGAGATAGCGTACATCGTGCACGAAGTAGTGTACACCACCACGCACGAGGTACTCCACTCCACATTCGGTTGCTTTGATGCCCTGACATCCCAGCAGTCGAAATTGCCCAAGAACCAAAAAGGAACGAATCGACAGTTTACGACTCCGCCCTCTGACGCATGGTACCTGGGAAGGAGCCCGGCGCGACATCCCCAATGGCAGCAGGTCTAGCTACATGCCAGTGTATCACTACCGCCTCTCTTGAGTCCTTCCTTCCAATGCGGCCAAAGAGATGACGCTCAGACATTCTCATGTACGTCGTATCAAAGTACCCTGCCTATGACCCATCGGTGCAGATAGTACGAAGTACGGGGTGACATGGGCTTGAAATGAAATTTGATGTCGACCAGCACCGGATCCCTGAAGTCCGCAAAGTACCTCTACTTCGTACTTGTCGAGAGCCGCGGGAGATGGCTTAATCGGGAAAGGCAATCGACTTGTTTAATTTTGGAGTGTGGAAGTTGACAGGGATCCGGTGCATGGCCCCCTGGTTAAAGATCAAGGTACGAAGGTACAAGTCAGAGCTTCATTTTTCCGTCTCTTCCACTTTCCCTTCCCCCCCATCAAGGCCCTGCTGTTGCGTCAATGTCAACACTCTGAGGAGGGAAGCTAATGTGCGTCGTACCACGTCGGCATAAGACTGATTGTTTATTCCGATATGCAAAGTCGCAAGCCATGGGCCATCGGGACTGTTGTCGTGATGGGGGAGTCTCAATTGAGTTAAATCAATGAAGAGGTGAAGAACTGCGCTACATCAGGAACGAAGTTAGAGTTAGCTTTTTTTTAAGGTCATGGGGTCGAGGGCTTCCAACATCCCACGTGTCGATAGAGAGAGCTCTCCGAGACCAAGACTCGCTCAATCCTCCACTCAGAGTCAGAAAGCGGATAAGGATTTCACTTCAGGAACGGGAAAATAATGTAAGACAACGCGTCCTTTGGTTTTCCTCAATATCACAAATCATCCCGCCCTTCGACTCTTACTCGGCCTTCGTAAGTTGAAGGTGTTACCTGTGTCCTTTTCAATGGCAAGTCGCCGTCAGTGGTAGAGGTCGTCGCTGTATCCGACCTCCACCACCGAGTGAGCCATGGACCATGGTACACCTACACCTGTCTTTACGACACCACAGGTTGCAAAAGATGGTGTGCTCTCTTTTTACCCATTTTTGCCTGAGCGCATCTCTGCCGCGCTTCCTGCGCTTCGGCGCTTCGTCGATATTTTCGATTCGTTCTCTTTGCTAGTCTGAGCTGTGCGTTGCCAGTTGCAATTTTGACGATCTATAAAAAGATATTCTTGAGGTCAGAAGACTCCGAAAGAGGAGTCTTCAATCCTGCAATCAGTAATTTGTGAGGTGCCGTTGAGACACACGAACATGTACCGACGCGATGGTACTTAAAATAAGATCATTCGAGCTCTCGACGGTTGTTGGGAAAAAGACTGCAAAAAGAAGTGGAGTGAGAAAACCCTAAACCTGCAGTTTCCAACTCTTCACTTCTTAACCCCATCATCTTATCTTGTGCCATTCGCTTTGCTATTTCGGTAATATTGATATTATCTTTCGTCTGTTCCTGGCAAATCCTTCAAGTTGAGTGTGAAACCTTACCCCCTGTTGTCGATGAAGCGGCAGAAGCAAAGTGGCATTGCACTTGTCCGGGTGCCTCAAACATCGAGACACAGTTTCCAATGCCTGCTACGTGATCGAATTTAAAGATTCACTTGGACTTTGGATGGTGTGCTTGAAAATGTTTAGAAACGAAACGTCATGTCTCTAGTCCATGTGTTTTGACTTCCATTCACATTCCAGCGCCTGGAGACCCATCACGACCCAAGCAACCTCGTTGTGGCTTACCGCACTATTTCCAATAGTGGCATGAAGCAATATGATGTACTTCGTACTTTCTGTTGCTGAGGCAGTCTTCTAGTTTTGAACATGGGAGCCCTGTTCACTTGAACGATCGATATCACATCGGGAAGCCGTTTAATATCCCAAAAGATTTGTCTCGCCTCCTTATGCATCCATGTGTGTATAACTTGATTTCTCGGATTATTATAATGCTCATTTTACCGCATCCATAGTGCACAAGTTTATGGTTAAAGCAAACCAGAAGACTTGTCCACACCTTCTGCCAGTTCTCCACCTCCGACCCATGTCTTGTCTTACCCTCCGTGTCGGGGAAAAAGTATTGTTCGAAAACCGGTCGAGGCGGCTTAAAACAAATTCCAACCAGAACCAAGTATTAGACATATCCTTGCCCAGGCGCTGAGCGAAATGTCACAGGCTTCTGAGGTTGACGAAAACCCGTTGATCTGCTCATCTCCATCCGTGTGCCTTTGTTCTCCCAGTCGGCTTTTTTAATTCTTGCCCCTTTTCGCTTAATGTCACTCCGACAGTATCCAAACCCATATTACCGGGGACGACAACCAGATGACGACGGTTTTCTTTCTCGTTGCTTTGTATACTTTAGAGTGAAAGACGTACGAAGTATATTACGGAGTACGAGATCGGGAAGGGAATCTGACCATTTTTTGAAGGTCTTAGAACGGGCAGTACTTTTGCATGGTTTCTCGAGCGATGGTAACTCCTGTCGCAACATACCACCGATATCGCTGGCGACAATGATGTTCAACGAATGTTAATGTTAAAAGTTCTTCATGGCTGAGAGAACCAGGACAGCCTTGACAGGGCATCGCAATCGGGTCAATCCCAGACGGCCAACAGAAGGGGCGAATACAGTGCCTGGCATGCCTGACGCGTCCCAAAACACGGTCAACACGGTCGGAAGGGAAGGGACAATGATATCCTCCTCCTTCGAAAGTCCAGTGAAGGGCCTTCCCAGCAACGGTCTCATATCGAGCTGAAGTGACGTCCTGATTGGCTCGTTTAGACTGCCTTTCATTCCAGTGACCTTCTATTCCTTGCATGCGAAGTATTACAGGCTGCCCGCGACAACGCCAATGGTTCGGGGAAGAGGGAACAGAACACGGGCAACTCAGACAGGCAGGGATCTGGGGTTTGCGGGTGAAATCCCTGGCACGAGGCTCAGGGGAGAGCTGAGCGAATAGGAGAACGAATGGTCCTGGATTTGTGGGCTTCGAACAAGGATTTTGATTCTCGTAATCGAGGTTGGATGTTGCGATTAGCACCACCAGAATTTTCAAATCTGATCCCATGATTCCGATCGCGTTTTTGTCTCGGTTACTTGGGCTCGCGACGGAGGCCTGATTAAGTTGCGGCGCGGAGCAACTGGGGAGCGGCGCAAGCGGGGGCCTAAGACGGGGCTCTATGTCCTGCGGCAGCCTTCCTCTCGACCGCCAGACATCAATTTAATGCCTTGACCGAGAGGAGTCCCGCAACTTCCGGTGATTCCCGGAGGTGATGATGCCTGTAAGCGAGGATCTCGCCTGTCCATACTGCCAGGCCATGAAGTACATAGTCACCAATACTGCACGCCATTGATGTGTTTCTTCAGAGACCGTACTGCAGCTAGTTGCAGCACAGATAGACTGCTCAAAAGCACGA